GCTTCCATCATAAGCTCCATAGATTTAACATCCCCTCTAGAGAACAGCAGGATATCGTCTGTAAAAGCCAAATGAGTAATCTCCAACTTTTCACATTGCGCATGGTGGTTAAAATCAGGATTTTCCTGCATTTTGTGTAAGCACCTATGAAGATATTCCATCACTAAGACAAATAAAAAGGGGGACATTGGGTCTCCCTGTCTAATTCCTCTCTTAGATACGAGGGATTTAAAAATCTCACCATTAATATTAAACTTGTAGGGTATTGAAGAGACAGTAGACATAATACAACTCACAAACTTGTTAGGCATACCAACTTTAAGGAAGATACATTCTAAAGCATTCCAATCAACCATGTTATAAGATTTTTAAAGATCGATCTTAGCCAAGCATTTGGGAGTACCACCCCTTCCTAGTGTAACCCTTAATTAGTTCATAAGTCAGAATAATGTGATGATGAATATTATGCCCAGGGATGAAGGCAGCTTGGCTGGAACTAATGATGTTACCCATAACAGTACTGAGCCTAGATGCCAAAATTTTGGAGATGATCTTATAAAAGGTTGAGCAGACAGAAATAGGCCTAAAGTCCTTGATATGCTTTATTGTATCAAGTTTGGGGATAAGGGAGACTATCATACAATTAAAGGCTTTGAATAATCTGCCATGTTCAAAGAAATTCTGCACAGCAGTTATCACATCACCCTTGATAATGTCCCAACTGTATTTGAAGAACCAGGCCCCATATCCATCCAGCCCTGGAGCCTTCAAATCATTAATTCCCTTTAGAGAATTGCAGATTTCATCCTCACTAACAGGACTCACAAGATTATCTATTTTCTCCCTGCCAATTTGAGGACCCTTCTGCATTGCATCTATGTCAATATGCTTCAAGTTGTTTTTCTTCTTCCCCATGAGAATGTTGTAGTACTGAAAAACATCCTCCTCAATCTCATCAAAAGTGTTAGAGCACGTGCCATCCTCTCTACATAAGGCCATCATATTATTAGCATTATTCCTGGCTTTAACTGAAGCATGGAAAAGGAGTTGTTGCCATCTCCCAGTTTAAGCCACTCCAGCTTAGCTCTTTGTCTAAGGATGTCTTCATCAATCTCATTCCACTTAATCACTTCAGCGGTGTATCTATGGATCTCATTAATAAGCTATTTATTCATTCTATCAGTGGCCAACTTAGTCTGGGATTTATCCAGGGCATCCCTTGCTATGGTAAGATGTTGCTTCGAATTCAACAAGGATTTGCTCAAATTCCTGATAATAGGCTGCAACCTCTTTAGTTTGCTCCACATAACGTATATGGGCCTACCCCTACAAGGCTCATTCTAGCTGTTTTTTAAAGCCAAAGAATAACCTTGAGTAGATGTAACAGAGTTAATAAACTTGAATTGGGTTCTTCTGATTTTCTGAACATGCTCTGTAACAAGCAGCAAAGCATGATCTGAAACACTAGGAGGCAATATTTTCAACACCATGTTACAATGGCTTTGGAACCAATCAACATTACCCAACACCATATCTATCCTCGAATAAATGGTACCCTCGTTGTGCTTGTTAGACCAAGTATAATACTCCTCAGTGTTGTCCATCTCATACAGACCCTTATTGACCATCATATCCTGCAGATCTTTGTATTCAATCTCTGTCACAATTTCTCCCCAATCCTATCAAGGGCTTTAGTCACATTATTAAATTCTCCAATAAGCATCCAAGCTCCCTACTTCTGAATATTAGCAATGTCTTTCCATAACTGTCTTCTCTAATCAAGTTTATTAAGGGCGTATATGGCTGTCAACCAGAATCTGAGCTTACCTTGTCTATCATAAATACCACAATGTATCATCTGACTCGTGCAGTTGAGGACTTTGAGATCAATAACAAGGGGATTCCATTGAATCCAGATTCTCCCATTCTCGTGGAAGCTATTATTATCAACATACTTCCCACCTAAACTAAGCTTATTCCTAATAACCATAGCTTTGTCCCTTTTAACTCTAGTTTCAATCATAATGTTAATGTTTGCCTTAAGCCCTAGGAGACGAGAGCGAATATCTATGAGCTTACCATATTTATTGAGCCCCCTGATATTCCAAGCAGCAATCAATGGCCCGAGTTTTGCAGCTCTAGGAGGTCATTCAAAACCCCTAGGGCGTCAAACCCATTCTCACACAACAAATCTTTAGGCCGGCTATCCTTTACAATCTCCTTACCTTTGTCACGAACACAGTTGTTGATGGATGTCCAACCCTCCTTTGCCTGCTGGACTTCTTGCTCATTAGTTGGGCCTGAAGAGGGTGCTTTCCTGGGACTAGTGACCAGGCTTTTATTTTCAGGGGGCTTAGGCTTGGGTTTCCACTGCTTCTCTTTAGGTTTAGATATATCACATTTATTGCATGCTACCTGACATTTATCACAGTAAGCTGGCTTCCATTCATACTCAACCTTCTGAACCATCCTCTTGTCGTCCTTATCTCTGATAGTTATCTCTTTTGGCAACTCCTTTGTAATATCTACTTCTACTAATATCCTCGCGTATGATATTCGCAATCGATTCGTTGTGCATTCATCTGTTACCATCGGGTTCCCCAGGGCGCTTCCAATTTTGTTGAGACTTTTTCCACCCCACTAGTACAGGGGAAGTTGAGGGAGCTTCATCCAGATTAGGAGTGTGCGAAGCATATCGTTCTTCAGATTGAAATCTGGTCACCATTCACGAAGGAGCATTGGCATATTTCTTATGGTATAAGGGCCACTCATCAGAACTTCATCTCTCTCTCTCTTAAGGATTTTAATTTCAGGAGGAAATACTCCTCCTCATGATAGAACATGTCTGGCAATTGAACAAAATTCCACATCTTCGTCATGAAATGTTTCACCGTGTTCATACTTAAATCACCCCCTAAAACATACATTATCAGGGAGGATTCCCAAAATATGATTTCAGAGATTATGTCTTCCTCTTCGATAGCAACTTCAATCTTGACATTAACAATGGAAGGTGCAACATACTCCATCGCCCTCCCCCTTGCTGGATTCCTATTTTCTGTCAAGATGTCCACCCATAACTTCCATTGAGAATCTTCCATAGTCGGGGCTTTTAGGGTTCCTGTTTCTTCTATATCTTATGTAAATTGTACTACGGAGGGACTCGCTGCTTGAGAATCACCACCAGGATCCAAAGGAGCTGTTTTTACCACCTGAGCATCATGGTTGCATGAAGACGGAGGCACCGGCTTTTTCGGCCGCCCTCGTCCTTTCCTTGAAGCCATTGATAGTTTACACAAATAAATCTAACTTTTTATCATTAAAAAAATTAATATTTTTTCAAGTCAAATTTTTATTTTTTTCTTTAAAAATATTCGTTATTTATATAAAACTAAATTTAAAAATTAAATATTTGTTATTTGATTTTATTCTTTTCATTTATTATTTTAAAATATATATATATATATATATATATATATATATATATATATATATATATATATATATATATATATATATATATATATATATATATATATATATATATATATATATATATATATATATCATTTAAATTTTCATGCAATCGCACGTGATATTGCTCAACTAACCTCAATATTTCCCTAAAGAAATTGCTAGTTGAGTTAGAAGTTCCCTAAAGAAATTGCTAGTTGAGTTAGAAGGTGTAAGTTGTAAGTAAGAGGTTCAACTCTTGACTGCGATATTTATTTATATTTTCTTTCAAAATGTAAACAGATATAGATATTTATAAATCAACAACTTAAAAAAAAGAATAGATAATATTAATAAATAATAATAATAATAATAATAATAATAATAATAATAATAATAATAATAATAATAAATAAATAAATTATAATAATAATTAGTATTCAATTAATTTTGATAACTTCTCCTTACTTAAAGAACCATTTAACCTACAATCATTTTTTCAAATATTCATTTTTAATTAATTTCTAATAAATACTAATTATTAAATTTTTAATGACTTTCTATTATAAAAAAAAAATCTAATACTCAAAGTTTTCAATTAACTCATTTTTTCAATTAATTCCGTTGCAAAAACTTATATAAATATATTTGATATAATTTGATAATTACTATTAAATTAAATATACGAGTGAAAAAACAAATTTGACTCGTAGGACATGTCTATAATTTTTATAATTGCTTATAATAATAATTCTTGAATTTTTATTAACAAATATTATAAAATAAAACATATTATATACCAAAAAACATATTAGTTTAATAAAAAATTAAAATTGATTATAATTTGATTAGAGGTAATGAATTAAATAATGTTTTGTTTGTTAAATTTGTATAGAAATTTTTAGAACTTATATGCAACATATATTTTTTTTTAGAAAGATCATGCAGCATTTTTTTTTAGAAAGATCATCCATCATATCTTATCCTAACTTTTATGCAGCATATTTTTTATTGGTCATTTTAAAAAAAATAATAAAATTGTGTATTTATAAAAAATTTGTGTATTCACTAATCATATTTGTTTCATGTTTTTTTTTATAAAAATAAATATTTGTACCATTTTTTAGTATAAATGTTAACATTTTATCATTAAAAAAATTAATATGTTTTCAGTCAATTTTATTTTTTCTTTAAAATATTTGTTATTTATATAAAATTAAACTTAAGCATAAAATATTTGTTATTTAATTTTATTAATTTTTTTTAATTATTATTTTAAAAATATATTTATCTCATTTTAATATTCATGCAACTGCACGTGATATTGCTCAACTGCACGTGATATTGCTCAGTTAAACTCCATGTTTCTAAATACCTAAAGAATAGACAATATTAATAATAATAATTAATATTCAATTAATTTTGATGACTTCTTGTTACCTAAAAAAACCGACAAAATATTCATTTTGATCCCTTAACTATAGGTCATGATTCACTTTGGTCCCTTATCTTTCCTTTTTTTTTTTGTTAAAATGGCCCCTTAAGTTTTAAAATGCAACCATGTTAGTCCTTCCGTTAATTGGCCTCCAACGTCCATTTATTTGCGTGAGGTGGCAAGTGAACTGACATTTTTCTTCTTCTTCTTTACATGCAGACATCGTATTTGACAGTGGTTCAAAATCTCCTTCACAAAATTTTGTTAACGTTCTCCTTCTCAAAAATTGTTGTACTTTCTTCATCTTCTTCCCTTTTCTCCATGAATATGAAACATTCATCTTCCCCAACGAAGCCAAGTCAATCAGAAAGTATTGGATCAGGTGTATACAGTAGCTCGCGGATCGCACCACTTTGTCTTTGCTGAGACAACAGTGTTCTACGTTCCTTCCATAATTCTTCTCAGTTGTTGCCCTACGTAGAGCAGTGTTGTCTCCGCAACGGCAAAGTGGTGCGATCCGCGAGCTACTGTGTACACCTGACCTAACATTTTCTGATTGCCAGAGCTTCGTTGGAGAAGATGAATGTTTCGTATTCATGGATAAAGGGAAGAAGATGAAGAAAGTACAAAAAAATTTGGGAAGGAGAACGTTAACAAAATTTTGTGGAGGAGATTTTGAACCACTGTCAAATACGATGTCTGCATGTAAAAAAGAAGAAGAAAACTGTCAGCTCACTTGCCACCTCACGCAAATAAATGAATGTTGGAGGCCAATTAACAGAAAGAGTAACGCGGTTGCATTTTGAAACTTAAGAGACCATTTTAGTACCAAAAAAAATAAGGGGTCAAAGTGAACCATAACCTATAATTAAGATAGCAAAATAAGTATTTTGCCTAAAAAACCATTTAACCTACAATCACATTTTCAAATATTTATTTTTAATTAATTTATAATAAATACTAATTATTAAATTTTTAATGAATTTCCATTATAAAAAAATCTAATACCCATGTTATACTTTTTATTAAAAGGAGCATATGATAGATAGAGAGACTTTTTCGATTTTCAAAGTTATTTCTTAAAAAGTGAGTCTCATTAAATCCTTAAAGAAATATGACAAAACTTTATCCTTCTTATATCGGCTATAAAAATCTTGTACAAATAACTATTTCCAAATAACATTTTGGAATATCTTTGAATATTTAATAATTTTTCTTTAATATTAAAAAAAGTAATAATATAACATTAAAATTTGTATTAAAAGAAAATAAAATATTTATATATACGGTAACAAATATATTTTCTATTTAATCATCTATTCATTTAAAATATTTGAAATAATTAAATATATACATCATATAAATTAAATATATACATCATATAAATTAAAAAATACATATTAATTAAAAATAATTTTTTTTCTATCCTTTCAAAACCGATGGTGAACATTAAAAATAATATTTTTCTATCCTAATGATATTAATTATATATGTTATATGTACATTAAAAATAAATAAAAATATCTAAACAATGATATTTAATTTGTTATTGTACTATATTTAATATATCATAAAGTGAACAATTAAGTAATGTTGATTACAAAATAAAATATATTAAAAAAATTATATGTGAAAATTTTATATCCATTTAAAAGAAAAATCAAATACATGATTTTCAGATATTTATTTATTTAATTTTTTGTGTGACTTATTTATTTGTGTGATCTTTAAAAATTATTCTTTAAAACTCTATCCGTAGCTATAAAATATAAGAATAATTGATTAAAATTACAAAAAAAAAATATTAATAAGTTTTTTAAACTATTTAGCTTATTTTCTAATAAATTGGATAGTGGAGAGATCATAAAAAATTATTAATAGGTTTTTAAAATAATTTTTAAAGTATGTTTTATAGTAGTTACCACTAAAAAAATTATTAAAAATATTAAAATAATTGTTATATTAGCCTAATTAAAATATCAATGTAAGACAGAAAAAATCCTAGAACATCAAAATGACAATCATCATGTATGTTTTGTATAACTTTTTACTTATTAAATTAAATTAAATTCTCAATTAAGAACAATTAAAAATAAATATTTGAAAAATAGAATAAGAATCATAACTCACTTTGACCGAGGAGCTATTCCACGATTCTATTTTTCATTAATTTCAACCAATTATCATAATTAATAAAAAAAAATTAATGCAATTATTTTTGGAAAAGAAAACTCATGGATCTCTCAAAATTGGTTTCTGCTCACTCTCTTTCATTAACCAATCTCTACTTTCTCTTTTATCGGAAAACAAAATGTTTCTCACTTTCTCTCCTCATCTATACGCTTTTTCATTCCTATCCTCTTTCTCTCATGTTGCACTCAACACCAACACATATAAAAAAATCATTCAAAGCAAGCAAACAAATCAATCCACATAAAAAGAGCCCTAACCTCAATCAAATCTCAAACCCAAATTCAATAGTTATTAGTAGGATTACATGCTACAATTGAATATCAAGAGTACCAGATCAAAAAAATGAAAATGAAATCATGTACATTATTCTACTTCTTCCTTTTATGTGGATTCTCTCGTGTGTTGCTTCTGTGAACTGTTTTGTATAGTTGCGTTTTTATGATTTGTGCGTCGAATTTGTTTGTGTTATGGGATTAAGGAAATTGTGTAATTTGATTTAGTTCTAAAAGAAAATACTTGAAGCTTTATGAGCAACTTAAAAATAAAATGATATGAAATAACAGATATTGAAAAACATATGCATATAAAAAATATTGTCGGAGAAGCATTTTGTAGACAAAGAAAGAAAATGTTGGCGAAGAAAATGTGGGCTAAGAAAGACGAAGAGAGAAGCAGACCGTGCGTTGACGGATAAAAGTTAGTCGAATAGAAAAAAATTGTGAAGTAGATGGAAGATATTTATAAATGAATGTGAAAAATATTGTGAAGTAGATGGAGGATATTTATAAGTGAATGTGAGAGGTGAAAAGGGAATTGGAAGGGTTGAAGTTTTTCAAAGAAAAATTCAAAATTGTTTACGTTTCCAATCCAATGATGGAAAGGAGAATAGTTACGTGATGTAGTCTACTAAAATTAAGAGTGCGGTAAATATAATATAATCAATTAGGGTTTTAGGGTAATTAATGGTTATATATTGCAATTATTTTTAGGGCATGAAAAATAATGTTTAAACTTGTTTAGTTGAGGTAATGAAGTGATTTTGGTGGTAATTACTTTTTATATATTAACTAGTAAGTCCGAACAGATTTCATATTACATGTATCAATGACTAAATTGTTAAGTATCACACCAAATTTTTAGTTGGATAACGTTAATATAATTATTACTTATAATCATTTATCAAATATTTATTCATGTGTTTGGAATATCAAACATAATACTATAATTTATTTTGCAATTCATAAATATTCACGTAGTTTTAATTATATACTAATAATATGTATCAATTTTTAAACATCAATTCATATATATAATAAATCGTACGACCAATTTTATAACTTCAATTATATAAAACAACAACAAAAATTTGTTAAAAGATAGACATTAAAATGATCAATCAATAGCTGGTAATCTCATAGATATGTCTACATCTATCTGTGAATCCAGTCAATAGCTGATATCTCATAGATACGTTCACATCTACCGTGAATCTAGATGAGCTAACAAACCCCAGTTGAATCCAAATGAGTTAATTCTAAAAATTTATTAAATATATTTTAGATATTAGTCCATTTTTTCAAACCTAAAATGTATGACAACTCTCAGTCAAAATTCAGTTTTAAAACTTTCGTATTATATCATATTTACATTTTTTACAACCTACCGTATATGGAAGTTCCTCGTTAACTTTCAATTTTAAAACCTTCTTATTACATCATATTTACAAATTTAACAAATCTAAAATGTATGACAGAACCCCGTCAAAATTTAATAAACTATATAAATCTGCGCATGCAAATTTAACTTAAAGATTAAAATCAAATCTTTAACCTAATCTTCAAACAAAAAATAATACTAATCATATATAAATTTATTGTAAAATTTTATAACTTATTCGAATTTGGTTAAAAAGATTCTTTAATTTAGTCAAAAATGAATTTTGTAGTTAATTAATATATACAATTTGTAATTTATTACCATTTATAAAATCAATTGTATCAACAGTAGACTTTTTGACTTTTTTCCGTTTGTAAAATTAATTTTAAATTATTTCCATTTTTTAAAATAATTGTATTTAAAATATACTTTTTTTTTATATTTTTCCCGTTAATTATTATTTTTAGTGATAATAAATAAATAAAATTGATTAAATATGTCATAAAAATAAAAAATTTAAAACTCACATTTATGTAAGTATACATTTAATAATAAATACTTAAGAATAGTTTTTACAATAAAAGTGTATTAAAATAAAGCTCTAAAATTTATTAAAAATTTTAAAAATAATTTGACTTTTTAAATATTAGTGATGTTCCCAAACAAAAATAGACCAAGAGAAATGGCAGTATAAGAGGAGCAAGGATAAAGTATGTTACATCAAAAAGACCAAAGAAAAGAATCCTAAGAATTTTTTTGTGGTAAGGAATGTTGGAAATCTATCAAATATCTATGATGAATTTCTACCAATCTTGATGAACAAGATTGATATCACCACACAATGACAATGAATTATGAGAAAAGAAAAGAAAAGAAAGAAGACAATTATTTTTTGGAGAGTTTCTCTCTGCCCACAAACTGTGAAAAACTTTATTAATCACTTGCAACTACAAATTCTGTGATTACAATGAATTGACTTAATTACAAAATTAGGGGTTACTCCCTCTATTTATAGGTTTAGCTTAGCTTGCTCCCCAAGCCAAATCCCAAAACTATAAAAGCCCAAAATACCTATTTTGGTACTAAATCAAATCTATCTATTTTAGATCTAAATCAAATTTATCTAAATTTAAAACCAATCAAATCTATGTGTAGCTTGTTTCGATCCATAAGCTCTTCGACTGGGCAACCTCCCTTCAACACACACACACACTGTTTCGACACAATCAAATTACAATTTAACACACCACATAATTCATTGTGTTTAAACTATCTATATTCATCATAATTCTTAGTCTTCTGAATACTTTGACCTGCACTCCCTTTGTCATGATGTCTGCAATCTGATTCTCAGTTCTGCAATGTTCCAAATTCATCTTCCCATCTGCTATCTGCTCTCGAAGATAGTGGAACCTCATGTCGATGTGCTTGCTTCGACCATGTGTTATCGGGTTTTTCGCTAGATTGATAGCTGACATGTTGTTGATCTTCATCGTAATTGCTCCATGATCTTTCCCTTGTTATCTCTTCGACCAAGTTCACCATCTAAGTTGTTTGACATGTACAAAGAGAAGCAACTATGTATTCTGCTTTGCATGATGATAGTGTCACTACTGGTTCCTTTCTTGAACTCCAAGCAACTGGTGCACCACCTAACATAAACACATATCCTGCTGTTGATTTTCGATCTTCAGCATCACTACACCAATTCGAATCAGTGTATCCCACTAACTTGCATTCTTTTCCTTT